AGGGGTAAATGGGCTCCAAACCATTCTTGATGAGATTATTGAATGGACAAATAACAATAATATGTCACTGAATTTTAAAAAGTCGAAGGAAATGACGATTAGCTGTAAAAGAGCCAAATCTGATATTTACCCACTCCATTTGCAGAATGTAACCTGGAACGTGTTTCAGAATTTAAACTGCTTGGTGTTATCATATCAGATAATTTATCCTGGCAGCCCCACATTGATTATATAATCAGTAAATGCAGTACTAGAATGTACTTCTTAAAACAAGTTCGTAGAGTCTCAATACCGCTGAACTTGTTCATTTCTATATCAGTACTATTAGACCTATTCTAGAATATGCAGCCCCAGTGTGGGGTACTAATATCACTAAGCAACGAAGCCAAGTTCTGGAACAGATCCAAAAAAGAGTGCTTAAATTTATCCTTCCTGGTGTTAGTTATAATGGAGCTCGGTCTCTGCTTGAAATGCCAACATTGGAAGAGCGACGTGTTCGACTGTGTAGGGATTTCTTTAACAAAATCAAGGATTCTAATCATAGATTAAACCATTTATTACCTACAGCCCGCGATTCTAAATACAATCTTAGAAGACCCGTCAATTTAGTATCCCGAAGGTCAACACAAATCGATCAAAAACATTTATAATCAATCATGGTTTGTCCAAAATTGGTAACTTTCCCTGCACAGTTAACACTTCCTTTCTCCTCACGTTCTCTTCATGTTGCTTTTGTGAGGTTCGTCGTGTTTTTGGGAAACCCATTTTGATGTTAAACTTCAATCTCTTTTTATATTGATGACTGCAATAAAGTGATTTTTTATTTGTGTTTGTATTTGTATTATAATGTCGGCTACAAAAACATATACGTCGACGAAGATGATGATAACATTTAAGCCGTTAATGACGATTAAGATGATGGAATTGATAATCAATATCGATAATGATGATGCTACTGCCTATTGATGTAGAAAAATCATATATTTTTAGTAATGTAGTTTAACTGTATTAGGGATTGGCTAACTACTTTCCGGAAACTGAAGCGACGCATCTGCGCTATGGTGCGTTTGAAGTTCAACTACAATCTACACAGAATAATAATCACATGACGCTTCGGAGACTCACCCTCCAGAAAATGAAGGTAAGGTTTTTTTTTTATTATTATTATTAATTCAGGGGCTGATTTAGATTTTTTTTCAAACGGGGGCGCGGCACAACATATTCAGAATAGATAAGCAAGTAGCGCTAATTTCAATATATGCATTGAATTTTTAAAATTTATTGGCAAGATCCGCCCCTGATTATTCATGTAGGTGTAGGTTTATGACTTTTATTCTCAATGAATCAATCAATCATTTTTATTAGGCCCTGTTAACTGATTAAAGCTTCTTTGAAGGATTATACCAACTAGTAACATATTTTCTTGTTCTAAAGACACAGACTATACGGGAAATACATCACTATGCTTTTACTGCGTGGCCTAACGACGTTACCGTCCCACAACCAATTGACTTTCTGAATCTTCTGAGTGATGTTGAACGATGGCAGGCGGCGCATCCTGGTAAACCAGTTGTCATTCACTGTCTGTAAGTTAAACTAACTCTACTTTTGCATTTATACTATTTGGCGCCTTATGTGGGTTAGTATAATTGTCATAAATGACGACATAATAAGTTACTCTACTCTATTGCAGTGATGGTTGTTCACGATCTGGGTTATTCTGCAGTTTATCATCTATTGTAGACAAGATCAAAGAAGAACATATCATTGACGTGTTTCAGACTATTAAGTCACTTCGTAATTCTTGTCCGCGTTTCGTTAAAATTCAGGTAGGTTTATATATGCCAGAAAGAAAATAATGTTTTTTTGAAAGCTTAATATACCATTTATACATCATTTTCACTAAATTTGAAATGAAAATTTTCTAGAGTCTGTACTACTACTAGGGGGAATCCAGAGAGGTTGGGTGAACGAACTTGTCCTTGTAGAGCCCTAGCTAGTCTTTAAAAACAAAATTCCAAAAGAAAAGAAAAGAAAATAGGGGCGCATAAAACCTGCAGTACTTTCGGTTGTCGAAGTACTCAAAATAATATGTGTCTGGAAAAATGAAATTTGCTTAGGCTAGGCTGATGATGTCCCCTGTGAAAAGTTGCAAGAGGTTGGTAACGCAGTTAAAAAATACACCCAAATGTTTGGACAGCGTCGCTATGACGGTATAATGATGATGATGATGGTGATGATGATGATGTTGATGATGATAAAGGAGCAGAATTATGATATATAACATATACTTATGATGTTATTTACATGATTTGTGTCTTCTCAGGAGCAGTACAAATTTTGCTATGACGCAGTACGTTTCTACATGGAAGGATTTGAAACTTACGGGAATTTTAAATAATAATATTAACCACAAGATTCTATCAATGTTTTCTAATTGATAAGAAAAAAAATAATTTAAAATGTAAGAAAACAATTAGATGGAAAAGTATTAATTATCATAATGACAACTCTTAACTACACTAATAATGCGAATAATGTGATAGGCCTCATAATGCATATTGGATAAATGAAATTAAAATTAAAATTCATTCAAAAGTTTTGGAAAATTGCAAAGCCAGACAAAAGATTTACAACTTAAAAATGCGATTAAAATGTATTAAATGTAATTTAAAAAAAACAAATAAAATCTGTATATCAAGACTATCAAGACAACACAAAACTGAAAAACCTAGGCCCTACGTTGTGTCAGTATTGGTACTATAATACATTGTCATACAGCCTGGTTTCCATAAAATCACTACTCTGTCATTGTTAAATAGTGCAGACGAATAGGCCTATTACTATCCACGTCATTGACGGCAGATATATATATATATATATGAGGCATGTTGGGGCGAAATGGTTAAGTTGTCACACAGTCCAGTATAGAGTAAATAAGCTATAAAATATGGGAGCTCAAAAAATTGCTAAAAAATCCAAATTTGTTTTTCACTATAATCAACAGATTAATGTCTTATTAATCATGTCCCAAAGTATTAATTCTGGAAGTGGTTAACAAATTGTTTATTTAACGTTATTTTTCATAGTTCATTTTATTAAACAATGTATGCAAAAATAACTTTGAAAGGCAATTACTCAAAATCCTGTTTATCTTGACTCTAAGAGTACTGTACTTTCACTTTCCAATAACTTAGGCTTGAAATGTCCAATTTGAATGAATGACCCCTCATTTTAAAGATCACATACTCAGGTATCTGAAATTTGAATTTCAATTTTTGCTACAACTTAGCCATTTTGCCACAACATGCCTCATATATGCAATTTTTATTACTTATTTATTTTACTTCGAAATATAAACTATCATTGTTTATATTTCGAAGTATTGCTTTTAAAATTAGAGTAGGCCTATTTTAGCTGAAGGTAATGTGACGGTGACAAATCCTTTGAACGTTGTAGCGTACCATTTTACCTGGCCTTATTCTGATTGGTCAGTTGTCAAATTTGATTGACACTCATGTAAGGTTTTGGCTTTTGGATTATCTAATTTAAACTTTATAGTTAAGTATGCGTATAGGAACAGGCTAATTCGATTATCATTACTTTAGTATTTCTTTAAAATTTTACTTTACATGTTATATTTTAAGTGGACACACCCCTGGTGTGTGCCCATTTTGGAAGTGGAATCTAACAATACATTTCATGCATATCTTTAATAATAATGATTACAACAATACTAATTACAAATAGAAAAGGATAATAGACCTCATATTATTTGGACAATAATCCTAACTATTAAAAAAATATATAATGATCATAATAGATATTAACTTTAAAAAATAAGAGTAATAATCATAACAATAATAATAATCATAACAATAAGTCAATAGTGCAGTCATCAAATTTACTTCCAACATAATTTGCTATCCCGAAACGTAACGGTTAAATCGTTTGTTTTGTTTATCGTGTGCAAGAAATAATTATAAAATACCTGCTTCATTACTTAATAATAATAATTATTAATAATTGTTGACTTATGGTATATTGTAGAGAACTCTATGCGCTTTGCATTGTTACCACCGGTCACAGGATTAAGCACATATGGAACACACACAGTCCCCACCGGAAAATTCCGTAATGTTTCAGCTGTAATCAGAGCATGGTTGTGTTTGAACCTACCAGGCACCCACTTGTAGTCGGGTGGAGAAGGACAACCGTGGATAAAGTACCTTGCCCAAGGACACAAGCGACTTCCACAGCGAGATTTTCGAACCCCCGAAAGGTTGGGTGTACAAGCCACAACCGATGCGCCAACCGCTTCTACACAATAGTGACAAGAGTATTATTACTTTAAAACAACGTGACACCACCTACTGTAAATCTGTCTCTTATACACATCTAGATGTGTATAAGAGACAGGTATAATGATGATGATGATGGTGATGATGATGATGTTGATGATGATAAAGGAGCAGAATTATGATATATAACATATACTTATGATGTTATTTACATGATTTGTGTCTTCTCAGGAGCAGTACAAATTTTGCTATGACGCAGTACGTTTCTACATGGAAGGATTTGAAACTTACGGGAATTTTAAATAATAATATTAACCACAAGATTCTATCAATGTTTTCTAATTGATAAGAAAAAAAATAATTTAAAATGTAAGAAAACAATTAGATGGAAAAGTATTAATTATCATAATGACAACTCTTAACTACACTAATAATGCGAATAATGTGATAGGCCTCATAATGCATATTGGATAAATGAAATTAAAATTAAAATTCATTCAAAAGTTTTGGAAAATTGCAAAGCCAGACAAAAGATTTACAACTTAAAAATGCGATTAAAATGTATTAAATGTAATAAAAAAAAAAAAAAAAATAAAATCTGTATATCAAGACTATCAAGAGCAACACAAAACTGAAAAACCTAGGCCCTATGTTACGTTGTGTCAGTATTGGTACTATAATACATTGTCATACAGCCTGGTTTCCATAAAATCACTACTCTGTCATTGTTAAATAGTGTAGACGAATAGGCCTATTACCTGTCTCTTATACACATCTTTTATGTAACGGTAGTATATCGGCGCTTGCCGAGAATATTAATATCTTTTTCCAGTCCCTTACTGTAAATTTTAAACCCATCGAGGCTAAAGCCGCAGACATTAATAGGTTTGATGATACCTAACCTTTGATAATCAGTTGTGAAACTATTAAATCTACATTAAAACAGGTGAAATGCAATAAGGCCCCTGGGCCGGATGGCATACCCCCATGGGTATTACATGACCTGTCTCTTATACACATCTAGATGTGTATAAGAGACAGGTGCATGATATGGACGTACGGTGCGGAAATGCTTAAAGTGTATAGGCCCACAACCAATATCAATTTATTTCAAAATATTATAATTATAATTAGGGGGGAGGGTGCAATTTTCTGCGCTTGCCCCGGGCGCCAAAACCTATGGCTACGCCACTGATAAAGGTCTCTGGCGGGATTCGAACCTGTTACTTCTTGCTTTCAAGGCGAGCATCAAACCCATTAGACCACGGAGACGCTTACACTGAGCGGAGCTGTGTTAATCCTGAAAAGCTTATAGGTCGCAGTTTGGAAATCATAGTAAATAATATTTAGTGCTCCGAGCACCGAAAACGCAATATAAACAAATAAATAATTACTAACTACAGTGCTCGAATAGGAACAAGATGTTAAAATCGAAAAAAAAGTGTCTGGGCCCCCCCCCCCCCCCCCCCCCGGGGGCCCCTGGGCGCCCCCCTGGCCCCCAGCCAAATGAGACTCGATTAGCTCCACTAGCCCCCCCCCCTCACGACGGGGCCTGTAGCCCCCCTCCGTCTGGCAGGTCCTGGCGCTACCACTGCTTTATACAAGCTTAACAGTCTCTGTAAGAACATTCTATTTTGAACTAAAGCGGATTGAAGTAATTTTACCTGGTCTTGTTTCAGAACTTGGAATTAGTATCAATTGCTAATGATAATGTTTGATTTAATTTGATTTAATTAATATATCCAATATTTACACACAATAAATATTAAGAACAAGAACAATTAAAATAATAATGTCAAGTCAAAAGATGAAACAAAATGTTCATACCGGTCGCTGGTTCTAACACAGCAAATGTATTTATATCAATTGTGTAATATAAATTTCTTCTGTAGAAGAGGTTGGCGAATCGGTTTTTGGCTTAGACTCCCAACCTCAAGGTCAAGGGTTCGAAACTCTCGCTGTGCAAATCGCCTGTGTCCTTGGGCAAGGCACTTTATCTACGGTTGCCTCTCTCCACCCAGGAATACAAGTGGGTACCTGGTAGGTTGCAACACAACTGCGCTGATTACTAGCTGCAATATTATGGAATAATATTATAATTTTATTTAATAATTGTATTTTGTGTTCAGTATGTGTTTTATCCAATGACCGGGGTAGTAATGTGAAGCGCTTAGAGGCTTTGTGCATGAAGCGCTATATAAGAACGACATATTATTATTATTATTATTATTATTATTATTATTATTATTATTATTATTATTATTATTATTATTATAATTATTATTATTATAATTATTATTATTATAATTATTATTATAATTATAAAAATAATAATAATTATTATTATTATTATTATTATTATTATTATTATTATTATAACGTGAAATATATATTTTCTGCTTATTGTACTCCCATCTATTTCAAGTAGGTTACACCTGTATTATTAATTATTGCAATAAACAGTAAGGAAGCAAAAAAGTAGCACTTTCAGGCTTTTATTTTTACAAGCTTATGTTTACTCAATACATTTCTATATGAGAATACGTTGGGTAAATACAATTTAGTATTAAAACAAGGGAATATATAATACACAATCGGGGTATAAAATAAACAAACATGCGGGTGGAGTAGAAGAGAATAGAAAATATTAGAAATGTATTCTTGGTACTGCACGTCAGTATTATGCGAATGCATTCAAATTAATTCAAATAATCATGCGTTGACCAGTCATGAAAGGGAAACTGGTTGTTTCCATTATCAACAGGCGTTAAGAAAAATATATACCGGTTCACCATACTCATACTAAACATAAGTAGATATAATAGTATTGGTTTGTTTTTATGACGATTTCGATACCATATTTACTGTAATATCTACACAGCAGGGTATCTGAACGAGTGGAAGGGTAATCCAGTTTCGTAGAATATACACAATGACGTCTTGACTAGCAATATAAGATGTTTGCGGCACTATGTACTGCAAATATTTGTCTATAAATACGTTGCGGTCTTATGTCCCAGAACCACCGGATAGTATTACGTAAATAAGTATAAATTATTTGTCAGAATTAAATTTACGTCACGCCAAAACCACTAACAATTTAATTATAGTTATATACATAATGTTTTTTTTTAAATTATAATTACAGATGAGTCTTCTACTTTTAGTCTTGTGATTTTCCGTTTTAGTCTACGTGTGTCTGAAAATAACGCCATCATCTACTAGAATAACTTGCAGAAAACATGAATATCGAATATGTCAGCTTATAGGCCTATATAAAATCTAACTTAAAAACTCAATCAGTTCATGATTATTAAG